GTGTTATTACACTTTCCTTTCACACTCTGGGACTGGGTGGTACAATGGCATTAACGCACTGTGCTTTAACATCCTGGGGCTGGGTGTTTCAGTGGGTTAAAACACTGTCCTTTCAGGCTCTGGGATAGGATGGTACAGTGTTTTATCACACTGTCCTTTCTTACTCTCGTCTTTGGTGGTACTGTGTGTTATCACACTGACCTTTCACAGTGTGGGACTGTGTGGTACAGTGCATTTTCACACTGTCCTTTCGCACACTGGGACTGAGTGGTACAGTGGGTTATCACACTGTCCTTTCTCACTCTAGTCTTTGGTGGTACTGTGTGTTACCACACTGTCCTTTCACACTCTGGGACTGTGTGGTACAGTGTGTTATCACACTGCCCTTTCACACTCTGGCACTGGATGGTACATTGGGTTATCACACTGTCCTTTCACGATCTGGGACTGGGTGGTACAGTGTGTTATCACACTGTCCTTTCACATTCTGGGACTGGGTGGTACAGTGGGTTATCACACTGTCCTTTCACACTCTGGGACTGGTTGGTACAGTGGGTTATCGCACTGTCCTTTCACACTCTGTGACTGGGTGGTACAGTGTGTTATCACACTGGCCTTTCACACTCTGGGACTGGGTGTTACAGTGGGATATCACATTGTCCTTTCATGATCTGGGACTGGTTGGTACAATGGGTTATCACACTGTCCTTTCACGATCTGGGACTGGTTGGTACAGTGTGTTATCACACTGTCCTTTCACACTCTGGGACTGGTTGGTACAGTGGGTTATCACACTGTCCTTTCACACTCTGGGACTGGGTGGTACAGTGTGTTATCTCACTGTGCTTTCCCACTCTGGGACTGGGTGTTACAGTGGGTTCTCAGCTGATTAGGATTGTTGCATGTTGATCTGAAAGTTTTAACTCTGATGATGTCATCTGGATATGTGGGCAGAACAAGTCAGCATCTCAAAAGGAGTGAGGCCCAACATCCAAATCTTCCTCATTCTCTGTTACAGTGGCTGCCATATCAATGTAACCTGGAACTAGTTGCCAACATGCAAAAAACTCCCAACCTTGTTTAGTAGAAGAGTCTCTTCTAGTTAGACCAGGAGGAACTTCTCCTCTGCACGCTTGATCATGCATGCCCTGTAGATCCCTGCCAGGAAAGAGATGGCAGCAGCAATCATCATCATGAGTAGCAGCTCAGACAGTGAATGGGCACACCCATACTACAGTAGGCTCAACTCCCACAAACTCAACTGCCTGCCCCCAATAACCTTGGACTCCTTGTCTGTCAAAAATTTACCTTACTCAGCCTTGAATACATTCAATGACTCAGCTCCCACTGTTTTCTGGGGAAGAGAATTCCACAGACTAACAACCCCCTAAAAGGAAAAAAATCGCCTCATTGTCTTAAAAGGGACCTCTCATAAGGGAAAGTGTTTATTCTTAAACTGTGCTGCCTAGTCTTTCCCATAAGAGGAAATATCATCTCAGAATCCATCCTATCCTGTCCCTTCAGGATCCTATATGTTTCAATAAGATCACCTGTCATTCTCCTCAACTCCAACATCCCATTCGCTTTCCTAATCACTTGTACCTGTATACTGATCTTTTTGCAATTCACAGACTAGGATTCCCAGATCCCTCTGGACCTTGGCATTCTGCAGTCTCTCTCTATTTAGATAATATGCTGCTCAGCATGTAACTTCAGCAAGAGACCAGTGCTTGTTAATACCACCAACCTCATCTCTTTGGATGACTCCATTCCCACACCTAGTAATCAGCACCAGCTCTTGCGCTGAAGTCATGAGAATGATTAGCTTGACTGACTTTGACATGGCAGCAATCAAGGGGTGAAAATCTTGAGAAGCTGCCTCTGTGAGAGGCATTGCCCTGACATCCCCTGCCACTGGAGCACTCCAGCACTGGAGGGTCACCTATGGTGTTCTCAGTCAAGTTCCTGATGTTCCACACTCTCTTACTCAGCTTCAACATAGCAGCTGCAGCATGAAGTGACATATTGTTGGTGATTATGGAACCAAGATATGTGAAGCTGTGAACAGCTTTCAGTATCACACTGCCAATTCCGATAGATAGTGGTATTTAGGCCTACACCTTTCTGCCTCAGAGAGAAGAGTGGAAACTACTGGAGCCTGAGGTTGAGAGCCAAGTGAGCAACATGGAACATTTAAGGAGCAATAAGGCTGGGAGGTTTAGAGGAACATTCAGAAAAGTAGTTAAGAAGGAAGTAAACATTTGATATGCTGTGTTTACTACTTTGCAGGTTCTTACTGTAACCGTACCTGGGATGGATGGCTGTGCTGGGATGACTCTTCAGCCAAATCGATGTCTGCACAGCATTGCCCTGATTACTATCAGGTCTTTGATCCTGCAGGCAAGTCTGTAAACTGCTGTTTATCTAATTCCGCTACCAATCATCTCCCGAACATATCTTAACCTTCAGCGCATTACTTTGTGATCTATGACCATGGGCACATACACCACAAAGAGGAAAAACTCAAATAGGGATCCAAATGAAAAGACACACAAACTCTGCACAGTGACAGGCATCAACTTTCTGATTTCAGCTTTGTTGTACATGCTGATTGGACAATTGCAGTCTCAAAACTTCCAAAGGATTTTGAAGTTATTATTGAAATATAGGAACAGGCGGAGGCAATCCGGCTCCTTGAATCTGTTCTGTCGTTCAGTGAGATCAGGGCTGATCAGTGACCTAACTCCATAGGTCTGCCATTGTCCATTATCGCTTAACATCTGTAACAAGTACCCATCATTGTCACTTTTAAGTTTAATTGTTGATTTTGCACAATCACCATTTCAGGATGATAATCCCAACCTCCTCTGGTCCTGTATAGAGGCATAGAATTGTACAGGACGGAAACAGACCCTTTGGTCCAACTCGTCCATGCTGACCCAGATATCCTAAATTAATCTAGTCCCATTTTCCAGCATTCAGCCCATCTCCCTCTAAATCCTTCCTATTCATATACCCATCCAGATGCCTTTTAAATGTTGTAATTGTACCAGTCTCCATCACTTACTCTAGCAGCTCATTCCATACACGCACCACCCTCTGTGTGAAAAAGTTCACCCTTAGGACCTTGTAAATCTTTCCCCTCTTGCCTTAAACTTATGTTTTGGACTCCCCTACCCTGGGAAAAATATCTAAGTAATTTAATAATCTAAGTATCTGGATCTCCAAGTCTCTTTTATTCCTCCACTGTCACGCTTTTCCCTATTTAGACAGTATCCTGTTTGATCCTTTGTTAGTCTAAAATTGATGACCTCACCTTTTCCTACATTCAAATCCATCTGCTAGTTTCGCTTTCCATTTACGCTGTTTACAATGCTGACCATTTTTGTGTCATTGGCACATTTGGATACGTGACTGTTTATCTCATCAATTCAGGGAACAGTTGAGGCCCCAGTACAGCTTCTTGTGGCTCACCATAAGTCACGTCCTGCCAGTTAGAGCACCTATCCATTATCACTGCTCTCTGTCTCCTTCTGCTCAGCCAATTTCCTATCAGGTCAATAAATTTGCTTCAGTTCCATGAACTTGAACTAACAGTCTCTTACAAGTTATTTTTCAATTGCCAACTGAAAATCCACAATCAACACGGTTATCATTAGACTATCTTTTTTTAATTTCCAAATTTTCATTGAATTCAAATTTCACTATCTGCTGTGTTGGGATTTGAACCCATGTCCTCAGAGATTTAGCCTGGAACCCTAGATTACTAGCTGAGTGACGTTATCATTATGCCACCAAATGAATGTGCGCTACAAATACATGGCCTCCCACAGTTATTTCAACTATATTTCCATGCACTCTGCTTCCTGTAAGAACTCCATTCCATTCTTCTAGTTTCTCTATCTGCATTGCCACTATCGTAATGATGCCACATTCCGCACAAGTGTTTCCAACATGTTGCCCTTTCCTCTCAGCCGAGAATTCCTAACCACTGTTAGGCCCCCTCCAATCTGTCTGATCAACTGTCCGCATTTCTGCTCTCGCCATTCCCCTTCCTCCCCTCAACCTCACTTTCAACTCACCAACTTCTAAACACAACATATGATCCTCTGCCATTTCTGCCTGCCCTAGTCCACCTCTCCTCCTACCACATCTTCTTCTGCCCTTCCTTTTTTAGAATCTTGAAGGGCCTGTTCCCTTCGTGACATCCTGCTCCATTCCTCATCACCCCAACACCTCCTTCCTTCCTGACAGCAGCTTCTTGTCCAAGCATGGGAGATACATCACCTGATATTTTATCTCCACTCTTCCCATTGTCCATGGCTTCAAAAACTCTATGGGATGTGAAACAGCAATCCACTTGTACTTCTTTCAATCTGGTCTACTGGGTTTGCAGTTCACAGTGCACCTCAATGCTGGAGAGATAAAATGCAGACTGGGTGACTGCTCTGTGGAACACCTCCATTCAGTTTACAAGTGTGACCTTGAACTCACAGTTATCTGTCATTTTCTTCTCTTTAATTCCACTCGAGTCTCACTGTCCTCTGCCTCCTGTAGTGTTTCAATGAAGCTCAAGCTTTATTTTTAATTAGGCAGTTTACAGCCTTCTGGGCTCAACACTGAATTCACCAAACTCAGATAGTAATGTCTTCATTCTGCGATTCTGCGTCTTTATTCTTTGCGAGTTTTGGGTTCACTGTCTTGTTTTCTATTCTTTTCCTTCTGGACAACACCCAATGAACATTCTGCCATTCACACCTCCTCTAGACATATCCATAGCTTCTTGTTGCTTCACATTGCTTTTGGCCTTGCACCGTGAACCCTTTCATTATTTAATCTTTCCTGCTCCCCATCCTATTAGAGATGTTCCTTTTACCCAACCTCCCCCAACTGCCTCTTTTAAAATCAACCACATTTCTAATTTGCCCCAGTTCTGATGACAGGTTGTCGACCTGAAATGTTAATTCTGTTTCTCTCTCTGTCCACAGGTGCTGATTGACCTACTGAGTATTTCCAGCATCTTCTGTGTTTTTATCTGATATCCCAGTGACAAAATCATTCAGGGGAAGATTGAAGCCACAGCCTCAGCTGCACCCACAATGCAGACACTTGCGACTGATCCAAACCCTGACCTGGATATTGTGTTACGTTCAACTTAATTCATGATCACAACATCAGATTAAACCTCAGTCTGAGTCTCGAAATGCATCACAAAGGCAACCTGTAGTCTAACTCTGCAATATTGTCTACCTGCACATTTTCCTTTCTGTTTGATCCTTTTGCTTTTTGATGTAACTCAAAACTTCAAGAATAGTGAGGTATCTTTGAACTGTCTGCAACTCTGTCTTTACCCTTTTAGAAAAGGCAACCAAGATCTGTACTGAAAATGGAAAGTGGTATCGACACCCTTCAAGCAATCGAATATGGACCAACTACACCCAGTGTACAGCCCAAACCATGGGCAAGGTCAAGGTGAGGGATTCTGCTGAATTTTGTGGTTCTTTCATGAGAAACTGTAAGCTGTATCCATTCATTCTCTTGAATGGCTGGTGCATGATGCCTGCTGTGGTGGCATTTGCCTGCAATTTGTTACATTTAAAGGCAACACCAATTGAAAAAGCAGCACCAACCGAAGAAGGATAGGTATTTTGTGCAGGCCTCACTTGTATGGTGTCAATTGCTTCCGGAGGAGATGGTGAGACCTCTAGTCATTGACCTGGTATCTCCTGAATGCTAGGACATGTTAGTAACTACACTGTTCAGGGACAGGGATTTGAGCCAATGAAAGGCATGGACCCAAGACAGGGAGAGGAAATCCAGACCCGCCAAACCAGGCAACATCCTGATGAACTGTTTCTGTACCCTCTCCAAAGCCTTCACATCCTTCTGGTAGTGTGGCAACCAGAACTGTACACAATATTCCAAGTATGGTCTAACTAAAGTTCTATACAGCTGCAACATGACTTGTCAATTTTTGCATTCTGCCCTGACCGATGAAGCCAAGCATGCCATATGCCTTCTTGACCACTTTATCCTCTTGCGTTGTCACTTTCAGGAAACTGTGGACCTGTATGCCTAGATCCCTCTATATGTTGATGCTACTAAGGGTTCTGCCATTTACTGTATAATTCCCTCCCACATTAGACCTTCCACAATGCATCCCCTCACATTTATCGGGATTAAACTCCATCTGCCATTTCTCCTTCCAAGTCTCCAGCCTATCTATATCCTCCTGTATCTTCTGGCAATTCTCCACACTAACCAGAACTCCCCTAATCTTTGTGTCGTCCACAAACTTACTAATCAGGCCACATACATTCTCTTCCAAATTATTCATATATATTACAAACAACAGGAGTCTCAGCACTGATCCCTGTGGAGCACCACTAGTCACAGATCTCCAGTCAGAAAAATACCCTTCTACTGCTACTCTCTGTCTTCTATGACCAAGCCAGCTCTGTGTCCATCTTACCAGCTCACCATGGATCCCATGTAAATACACTTTCTGTATCAGCTTGCCATGAGGGGCCTTATAGACATATAGACAACATTTACTGCCCTGCCCTTACCAATCGTCTTTGTCACTTCCTCCAAAACCTCAATCAACTTTGTGAGACACATTCTCGCCCGCACAAAGCTATGCTGCGCATCGTTAATAAATCCATATTTTTCCAAATGTGGGTAAATCCTGTCCCTAAGAACCTTCTCCACTAATTTCCCTACCAATGATGTAAGGCTCACTGGCCTGTAATTTCCCAGATTATCCTGTTGTCCTTCTTAAACCAAGGAACAACACTGGCAATTCTCCAGTCCGCTGGGACCTCGCCTGTGACTAAAGAGGATACAAAGGATTTTGTACAAGGCCCTAACAATTTCCTCACCTGCCTCCCTCAGCATTCTGGGATAGATCCCATCAGGTCCTGGGGACTTATCTACCTTATGCTTTTCAAAACATCTAACAGCGTTTTTATATTGACATGCCCTAAAAATTCAACATACCCATTCTCAGACTCACCACCCAACCATACCCTTCTCGTTTGTGAAAACTGATATGAAGTATTTGTTAAGGACTCCACCAGGTTAACACTTCATTTTGAGGTAGACAAACAGAAGGCTGGAAAAACACAGCAAGCCAGGCAGCATCTAGAGGAGGAGAAGTCAACTTTTCGGGTATTACCCTTCTTCAGGACTCCAGTCCTCCAGATGCTGCCTGGTTTGCTGTGTTTTTCCAGCCTCCTGTTTGTCTACCTTGGATTCTAGCATCTGCAGTTTTTTTTTTCTCTCTAGCCATTTTTAGATATGCCTGGTGCTGCTCCTGGCATGCCCTCCTACACTCATCATTGAACCAGGGTTGATCCCCTAGTTTGATGGTAATGGTTCAGTGGGGGATATGCCGGGCCATGAGGTTACAGATTGTGCCGGAGTAAAATTCTGCTGCTGTTCATGGCCCACAGTGCCTCAAGGATGCCCAGTCTTGAGTTGCAAGATCTGTGTGAAGTCTGTCCCATGTAGCATAGTGATAGAACCACACAACACAATGGAGAGTATTCTCAATGTGAAAGCGGGACTTTGTCTCCACAATGTCTGTGTGGTGGTCACTCTGTCATGGACAGATGCATCTGCAGCCGGCAAATTAGTAAGGATGAGATCAAGTATGTTTTTCCCTTTTCTTGGTTCCCTCACCACCTGCTGCAGACCCAAGCTATGTCCTTTAGGACCCAACCATATGAAATGAAAGATGGGACAGAAAGCCTGGTGTTTCAGAGCCATGATAATGGTGCAAGGCTATCACTCAGGTGTTATCACCCCTCCCAGTATGATAGGAAGAACATGGGCTCAGGCATAACCACAACTTTTACAAATGATTCGAAACTCCAAACTGCTAAGAGACTGAGAGGAGGACAGCAAAAGATCGAGGGGCAATGGACAGACTGCTAGAACGGCCTGACAAGTTCCAGATTAAACTTAACGCAGATATATGTGAACTGATAGTATTTTGCGGGAAGAATTGGAGAGACAACATAAAATAGAAGGCACAGTTACATATGGGATGCTGGATGGGAGAGGGTGATGATTACAATTGAATAGATGTGGGGGCCTATGCTGAGAGCACAGCCTTGGATTTATCGGCAGAGAAATCAAGTTCCAATGTTAGGAGCTTTGCCAAGACTTTACAAAACACCTGATAGGCTGGAGAATGGTGTTTATTTCTTGTAATATTAAGGAGGATATTAAAATCTGGGCAAGAGAGGAAACATGAGCAGAGGAGTTGGAGACTGAGCAAATCTCCCTCTACACTGTCCCTATCAAAGAGTCACAGGACACGTAAAGCACTGTGTTAGATACAGAGTGAAGTTATCTCTACTCTTTTAAAACGTAAGTAAAACTTCCTCTTGAATGTTCCCGCTCAAACATCCCTGGGACAGTTACAGCAGGAGGTTAGATACACAGTAAAGCTCCCTCTAAACTGTTCCCATCAAACACTCCCAGGACAGAGACAGCACAGGGTTAGGTATGGAGTAAAGGTCTCTACACTGTCCCCCGTCAAACATTCCTGGGACAAGGATAGCTTAGGATTAGATACTGAATAAAGCTCCCTCTAAACTGTCCCCCCCAATCAAACAGTCCCAAGACAGGGACAGCGTGGGGTTAGATACAGAGTAAAGCTCTCTCTACCCTGTCCCCCATCAAACACTCCCAGGGACAGGGAGAGAATGAGGTTAGACACAGAGTAACGACCCCTCTACACTGCCCCCATCACACACTCCCAGGACAGGGACAGCATGGGGTTATTTAGAGACGAAAGCTCTTTGTAGACTGTCCCCCATTAAACATTCCCATGACAGTGGCAGCATGGGGTTAGAAACAGAGAAAAGCTGCCTCTATACTGTCTCCCAGCAAACACTCCCAGGACAGGGATAGCATGGTGTTAGATACAGAGTAAAACTCGCTCTGCACTGTCCGCCCCCCATCAAATACTCCCAAGACAGGGACAGCATGGGGTTAGATAGTGAGTGCAGCTCATTCCACACTGTCCCCTCCATCAAACACTCCCAGGACAGGCACAGCACATGGTTAGATACAGGGTAAAGCTTCCTCTACACTTTTTCCCATCAAACACTCACAGGACAGGGACCACATGGGGTTTAATATAGTGTAAAGCTCTCGCTACACTGTCCCCGCATCAAACACTCTCAGGACAGGGACAACATGGGGTTAGATACAGAGTAAAGCTGCCTCTATGCTGTCCCAATCAAACACTCCCTGGACGGGGACAGCATAGGGTTAGATACACAGTAAATCTCCTTCTACACTGTCCCCCTCAAACATTACAAGAGTGGAAGTGCTCGAAGTTAGCTGCTGGAGACCATTATCTGTCCTGTTCACCAGAGCACAGCAAGCCAGGTTTGCTGCAGTTGGTTTCTGTTGGCTGGGTGTCACTCTGATGTTTGCGTTGGAATGTTGCTTTCAAATGGGACAGTCAAGGCTGTTGGATGTTAACTTGGCCCTGGATGGCTCCATAACGATGCTGCAAAAGCATGTGTTCAGCATCTCATGTGGGCCAGTGGAGAGAACATTGCTGTCTGAAATGTTTAACATTAAACTACAGGGGACTGTGATGTTTAGTGGCATGTGTTTTTGTTGATCTTCGATACAGGAATGCAAATGGCTCTTTCACACTTCTGTCTTTCTATATTTGCAGACAGTATGGAACCTCTATTATTCGGCTATTACAGGTCATGTGATTTCTATCGTGTGCTTACTGCTTGCCTTGTCTATATTCTACTACTTCAAGTAAGTTTACAATTTGACAAGTTTTCTCCTAGAATTACTGAATCATTCGCCCTCATGTTTGTTGCTATACCACTTTAAATAAGCTGGCCAGGCAGAACCAAACTTGGGAAGCACAGTACCATGTCTTGAAAATGATGCCATAGTCAATCTACCACGCAGCAGGCAATGCCATTTTCTGCTGAGGATTAACACAACCAGCAGGGCAGGACCTGCTCCCTGACTGTCTGTCAGGCATCTCCCAGTCTGGCATCTGGAGTTAGAGCATTCAGGTCTGAAACAGGCAGCATATTCATTTTGATTGGTGATGAGAGCAGAGCCAATTCCCCATGATTCCCAGCAGCCAGGTGACTAGCTGGTTAGATGGTTGAACTGAGAGTTTCGCTGTCATTTATTTTCATGCGCGCTGGTTGAGCCTGTCAGGAGAGAAATATGTTCAATCAGGTTTTAATTTGGACATTAAATCTGGCAGCAGATATCTTTCACTCTGTTTCTCCAAAGACTTTGAACTCTGCCACTTCTCTTCATGTAATTCATGCTTGCATCATGACTATTTCATTGAAAATATTTACAATAATTTTCCATTTATCCCATGCTCTCTTCATTCCCTCACACTCTTTAATATCCCACCCAGTCTAATCCTGCTCCCAATTTCCTCCCTGTTCCCTTTTATATCTCAGAATGTATAATCCCACTCTTGTTTTCATTCTTGACAGCCTTTAGCATCCCACACAGAGTAATCACATTCTTCCAGTATTTCTCCACACCATTTAATATCCCACCCAGTCAACTCCCCCTCTTCCCCTTCATTTCCCACATCCTTTAATATTCCGCCCAGTTTAGTCCCACTCACCCCTCACACCTGACACCATTAAAAATCCCACTCAGTTCAAAGTTTTTGAGAAGATTTGTAGCTCGGGTTGTGGATGAGGTTGTAGACTTGCTCACCGAGCCGGTGTGTTTGACTGTAGACGTTTCGTCACCCAGCTAGGTAACACTGTCAGTGCGCCTCTGGTGAAGCGTTGGTGTTCAGACCTGCTTGATATTTATATGCCTCAGTTTGTTGGGGTGGTTGGTATCACTTCTGGTTCTGTTTCTCAGTGGTTTGTATAATGGGTCCAGGTCAGTGTATTTGTTGATGGAGTTCCAGTTGGAATGCCAGGCCTCCAGGAATTCCCTGGCATGTCTCTTTGGCTCGTGCTATTATGGATGTGTTGTCCCAGTTGACATTAAACTGGACCCGATATACAAACCACTGAAGAACAAAACTGGAAGTAATATCAACCACCCCAGCAAACCGAGGCATATAAATAACAAGCGGGACAGAACACCAACGCTTCACCGGAGGCGCACTGATGGTGTTACCCAGCAGGGTGACTAAACGTCTTCAACGAAACACACCGGCTTGGTGAGCAAATCTGCAACGTCATCCCATCCAGTCTCATCCCACTCTCCCCACTCACTCCCCGCATCCTTTTCTTTTCCTGCTTCCAGTAAATCTCTCTCCTTCCTTTTTATACCGTGAATGAAGTGCACCACAACTATGGGTTTTGGCAGAGAATTTTTTAAAATTCATTTGTGGGATGTGAGCATCACTGGCTGGGCCCAGCATTTATTGCCCATCCCTAGTTGCCCCTTGAGAAGGTGGGAGTGAGCTGCCTTCTTGAACTGCTGCAGTGCATGTGCTGTAGGTTGACCCACAATGTCCTTAGGGAGGGAATTCCAGGATTTTGATCCAGTGACAGTGAAGGAACATTTCCAAGTCAGGATGGTGAATGGCTAGGAGGTGGGGGTTCCCATATATCTGCTGCTCTTGTCCTCTTAGATGGAAGTGGTCGTGGGTTTGGAAGGACTTGTCTGAGGATCTTTGGTGAATTTCTGCAGTGCATCTTGTAGATACTACACAGTGCTGCTACTGAGCGTCGGTGGTGGGGGGAGTGGATGCTTGTGGATGTGGTGCCAATCAAGCTGGAGCTGCTTTGTCCTGGATAGTGTCAAGTTTCTTGAGCATTGTTGGGGCTGCACCCATCCAGGCAAGTGGGGAGTATACCATCACGTTCCTGACTTGTGCCTTGTAGATGGTGGACAGGCTTGAGGAGTCAGGAGATGAGTTACTCGCTGCAGTATTCCCAGCTTCTGGCCTGCTCTTGTTTCTGGTCAATGTTGATAGGGTTGTTGATAGTGGGGGATTCAATGATGGTAACACCGTTGAATGCCAATGGGTGGTGGATAGATTGTCTCTTATTGGTGATGGTCATAGCCTGACATTTGTGTGGCGCAAATGTTACTTGCCATTTGTCAGGCCAAGCCTGGATATTGTCCAGATCTTGTTGCATTTGAACATGGACTGCTTCAGTGTCTGAGGAGTCGCGAATGGTGCTGAACATTGTGCAATCATCAGCGAACATCCCCACTTCTGACCTTATGATGGAGGGAAGGTCATTGATGAAGCAGCTGAAGATGATTGGGCCGAGGACACTACCCTGAGGAACTCCTGCAGAGATGCCCTGGAGCTGAGATGATTGACCTCCAACAACCGCGACCATCTGCCTCTGTGTCAAGTATGACTCCAGCCAGCGGAGAGTTTGCTCCGATACACATTGATTCCAGTTTTGCTAGGGCTCCTTGATGCCACCCCTGGCTGAATGCAGCCTTGATATCAAGGGCTGTCAGTCTCCCTTCACCTCTGGAATTCAGCTCTTTTGTCCATGTTTGAACCAAGGCTGTAATGAGGTCAGGAGCTGAGTGGCCCTGGTGGAACCCAAACTGGACGTCACTGAGCAGGTGCTGCTTGAGAGCACTGTTGATGACACCTTAGAAATAGAATCATAGAAACCCATTCGGCCCAACAAGTCCACCTGCCCCTCTGAAGAGGAGCATCCCACCCTGACCCATTCCCTCACCCCTATCCCTACAATTTTCCCTTGTCTAACCCACCTAACCTAAACACCCCTGAACACAATGGACAATTTAAGCATGGCCAATCCACCTAACCTCCACATCTTTGGACTGTGGGATGAAACCGGAGCACCCAGAGGAAACGCACACAGACACGGGGAGAATGTGCAAACTCCACACAGACAGTCACCCGAGGGTGGAATCGAACCCGGGTCCCTGGCACTGTGAGGCAGCAGTGCTAACCACTGAGCCACCGTGCCGCCCAATCACTTTACTGATGATCGAGGGTAGACTGACAGGACGGTAATTGGCCGGGTTGGATTTGTCCTGCTCTTTACGTACAGGACATACCTGGGCAATTTTCAACATTTTTGGGTAAATGCCATTGTAACTGTACTGGAACAGCTTGGCTAGGGGAGTAGCAAGTTCTGGAGCACAAGTCTTCACTACTATTGCTGGAATGTTGTCAGGACCCATAGCCTTTGTAGTATCCAGTGTCTCCAACCGTTTCTTGAGATCACGTGGAATGAATCGAATTGGCTGAAGACTGGTATCTGTAATGCTGGGGACCATTGGAGGAGGCTGAGATGGATCATCCACTCGGCACTTCTGGCTGAAGATTGCTGCCAATGCTTCAGCCTTATCTTTTGCACTGATGTGCTGGGCTCTTCCATCATTGAGAATGGGGATATTTGTGGAGCCTCCTCCTCCAGTGAGTTGTTTAATTGTCCACCACCATTCACGACTGGATGTGGCAGGACTGCAGAGCTTAGATCTGATCTGTTGGCTGTCGGATCGCTCAGCGCTGTCTATCACTTGCTGCTTTCGCTGTTTGGCGTGCAAGTAGTCCTGTTTGGTAGCTTCACCAGGTTGGCACCTCATCTTCAAGTTTGCCTGGTGCTGCTCCTGGCATGCCATCCTGCACTCTCCGTTGAACCAGGGCTGATCCCCTGGCTTGATGGTGATGGTTGAGTGGGGGATATGCCGGGCCATGAGGTTACAGATTGTGCTGGAGTACAATTCTGCTGCTGTTGATGGCCCACAGTGCCTCATGGATGCCCAGTTGAGTTGCCAGATCTGTGTGAAGTCTGTCCCATTTAGCACGGTGATAGTGCCACACAACACGATGGAGGGTATTCTCAATGTGAAGACGGGACTTTGTCTCCACGAGGACTGTGCGATGGTCACTCTTACCTATACTGTCATGGACAGATGCAACTGCAGCTGGCAGATTGGTAAGGATGAGGTCAAGTATGTTTTCCCCTCTTGGTTCCCTCACCATCTGCTGCAGACCCAGTCTATCAGCTATGTCCTTTAGGGCCCAACCAGCTCGATCTGTAGTACTGCTGCTGAGCCACTCCTGGTGGTGGACATTGAAATCCCCCACCCAGAGTACATTTTGTGCCCTTACCACCCTCAGTGCTTCCTCTAAGTGTTGTTCAACATTGAGGAGTGCTGATTCATCAGCTGAGGGAGGACGGTATGTGGTAATCAGCAGGAGGTTTGCTTGCCCATGTTTAACCTGAAGCCATGAGACTTCATGGGGTCCAGAGTCAATGTTAAGGACTCCCAGAGCAACTCCCTCCCGACTCTATACCACTGTGCTATCACCTCTGTTGGGTCTGTCCTGCTGTTGGGACAGGACATATCCAGGGATGGTGATGGTGGTGTCTGGGACATTGTCAGTAAGGTATGATTCTATGAGTATTACTATGTCAGGCCGTTGCTTGACTAGTCTGTGAGACAGCTCTCCCAATTTTGGCACTACCCCCAGATGTTAGTGAGGAGGATTTTGCACGGTTGACTGGGCTGTTTCTGCTGTTCTCTTTTCCAGTGCCTCGGTCGATGCCAGGTGATCCGTCTGGTTTCATTTCTTTGAGACTCTGTAGCGTTTGGTACTACTGAATGGCTTGCAACGCCGTTTCAGAGGGCAATTGAGAGTCAACCACATTACTGCGGGTCTCGAGTTGAGACGGTGTTCATGAGCTGTCTTCTTGATCCGCTAGAATCTATTTGGTGTAGGCCATTTTCCCATTAAGGAGGGAGTTCCAGCTAAATGGTCACAAAAACATATCATTGAGCAGTAAAATCACTGGAGTCAATGTTTCTTGTGATCTGTGATCGCATACACAACCCGACTGGAAGGCCCAAGACATGCCCAGAATTGAGCTGTGAACCTTAATGGAATAATCCAGGTGTGTTGATGGAACTCTGCCCCAGATATCATTCCCCCAACCTTGATGAGCTTTCCAATTTTGGGAGCTTTGGACTGTCAGCCACATCCCAGGGAGTAGAGTGAATGGGAACTTCAATCTATCATGATGCAGAACAAACTAGCAAGGCTGTTCCTGCCCCCACCTCCCCACCCGCCATTGAACCCATGAGGCTGCAACTGTGGCCCTAGTTGATCAGTGCCACTCAGATGTTGATGGACTATTTGACTGTATTGGGCATCATACCCCGCTTCAGCATGTCCTCATGGATGGCCTCCATTTTGTAGCAAGAATCTCATTGTTAGTAAGGCAGTGTTCTTCCAGTGAGGTCAGGCATGAAGCTCAATCTCACCCTAACTCTGAAACACAATCTTGTTTCATCCTGCAGGAGTCTCAGCTGCCAGAGGATCTCACTGCACAAAAACCTCTTCGTATCGTACATCCTCAACTCCATCGTCAGCATCATTTGGCTGAAGGTTGTGGCCAATAACCAGGATTTGGTATCTAGGAACCCTGTAAGTCTGAGCTGCTTTGAAAGAAACTTCATTGTTGCATTGAGAGCCGCAAGCGCAGTCTCTTGGTGCTGCACTTCACTGTTTTCTTATCATCATATTTACCCCAACAAAAGGGCAAGAGCTGAGCACCACAGAGCAAGAAGGCAGCAACTTCAGCCTGTCTGAGCACCATGCACAACTTGAAATGCCACCATCTTTGCGAAACCGCAATCAAACATTTGCTCTCTTACAAATGCCCAAACTTGCGCTGAAGACCTGTGCTAAAACACATTGGCAAAGTCATCTATGCCGGCTGAGAATGGTTAAATGATAACTGTGAGCTACATTGCTATCAATCACGTGCAAAATCAATTAGCCCTGAAACTGTGTCCAGGCCACTTGTCTGTTAGCACTCTGTTTAGATGAATGCAATTGCACTTTAGTGGGCTTGCTGTCTTGCCATAGTTATGTGACTTCTACCTCTGCTGTGAATGCCTTTGTGTGCAGTTGGTGATAGACTTTACGCATTCATAACATGATATCAGGGTGGTGCAACTGTAAATGTATGGCTTTTCAGAGCTGTAAGAGAGATAGCTACTGTGAAAAAGACAGAAATGAAAATGTTAAAAAAGCCTGTAACTGGGAGGGTCAAAATGGCTGTAAATTTTCCACTTCCTGTTGCTTTGGTAAGGAAAGGAGGTATGAGAGAGAATTGGATTTATTTTCCTTTCTCAATGGCAAAACTGTAAAACAACAACATGTTGAATTTTTAAAATCTGAACTTAGAAGACTTTCAAACTTGCTTTTCATATGCTGGTGAATAAAGTGCTACAAGCTGTATTGCAACCTAGATTTTGAGGAGCAGAAAAGCCAGACTGAAGACATTTTTCAAGCTTTCACTGCATACTTTGAACTTATTAATGTTGCATATGAATGGTTTATGGTTAATATCAGAGCTCAAAGGGTGAGGAAAACTAATTCATCAGTATATGGCCCACTGATACATCTAGGTAAGTGTATTTGAACAACTGGAAGATGACCTTTTCAAGAAAGGATTACCTGAGGCATAAAAGATCCCATCGTGAAAGTATATCTGCTGAGATGGAGATATCTATTTTCAAGAAAGAATTCAAGATGTGCAGAAACTCTGAGGTTGTCAATCATCAACTAGAACATATTAGGAGAACAGACAAGGTTTTACATTGTGCTGAGAGACATTCCAGGAGGATGAGAACAACAGATTGGGAAAAGGAAAAACTATTTGAAGAGGAGCCAGTAGAAAGATCAAGGCCAGAGGACAGGATGTAGATATTGCAGACAGCATCACACAACCGAAAAGCACATACAGCATGAAGAAAGCAGTGATCTAAATGCAAGAGGCTTAATGACTCGGGAGACTAATCCAAGTCCAAGTATTTGGCTAGAAAAGGGCAAAGCAAGTGTGTAAAGGTGGCTGCTGAAGAGATGTCAGCCAATGGTAATAATGCATCACTCTACTTCATACAACAGATTGGCATTATCTGCTTTAAAGGTGATAAATGGTTTGTGCCTGTTAGAACGATGACTGCAGAAAGACAGCATCAGGGTGAAGTGTTGATAGACACCGGTGCTTTGTACAACATCATGAGCTTTGCAGGCCTGTGTGAAGTGGCTCAAGATGGTTAACTTAAAAGTGAAGCCCTCAAAGGTAAGGTTCAGTCTTTATGTTGGAATATGATCCTTATCATAAGAGGCCAAATGAAGCTGGGAGCCCAGTACAATGGGAAGAATGAAGAACTGGAGTTCCAGAGAATGGACATTAAGTAAAATCTATCCATCTCACCTGAAACAAGTTGGAAGTTCAGACTGGTAACCCTTATCATGCCAGAAGATATTTTCAGTGTTTTGCAGGGCAACGTACTGCTGAACAGATCCTAGACAATTACAAAGATAACACAGTGTGGA